TGCTCGCGGTTTGACAGTTCGGCGGTTCGATTGCGGCCAAAGGAATCTCAAATCCGCCATTCGTCCGCCAGATTGGCGAATTGGAGAAAATCAATCCGCAACCGTCCGCTCGTCATCATGCATCTGTCTAAAATGCGACGGATTGGTTCGGTTCGGTCAGTTTTGACGGATCGATATATCCGCTGCTCACTCCTAATTTTGCCCTTATCTATCTGTCTATTATAATGGATAATTTAACAAGGGGTAAATTCATTATTTTTATGGAAAAACCAAAAAACTAGCAATGTCATGTAACACACTTTTAATTAACATTTCGACATCTTCATTGCAGATAATAAGTTTTTTTAGCTAACTTTTTAAAGGATGTCTCTCGAATATATGTTACAAGTTTGAATTTCATGTTAGTACATGATTGAGGCTAGCAGTGATAAATTTACCTAAATTCCCTCATTATAACTCTGTTTGGGAAGTGGGTTGGCTTTTTGACTTTTTGGCTTTTTTGGCTATTTTAGCCTGGGCTTAAAAGTTTGGTTTGGGAAGGGCTTTTTGGCTTTTTGGCTTTTTTGAATTTTTTTGTGAGAGAAGAATGTAATGATTATGGGTTGGATGTGATGTTTTGTTTGTTATGGCTAAAATAGCCTATTTTGTTTTTTGTGGCTAAAATAGCCAAAAAAACCTACAAACCCACTTGCCAAACACAGGCTATAAAAAACAAATAAAATACATAATGGCAATAAAACAAACTCAAAACTATTGTTGACAAACAAATCACCATGGAATGACATCACAAAATCTAGAGGGATCATAAAGTGAAATTTTGACATTGGAAGCATATGCAATTATTGATAATTGCATATGATGAAATCACTACAACTAATTTTCCAAGTGTATCATGATATATATATATATAATCACCAACAACCCCCATTTTACAATTGAATTAAGTCTTTTGATTAAGCATCAAAATCAAATGTCAATGGGATTTGACTCAAGTTACTGAACATTACACAGAAAAAACGCAATTGTCACTTTCCACCAAAGAATCATAAAAAAAATTCCACTCAACAGTTATTCATTGTCCCGTGTGACAATAACATAGTCATATTACAAATAGATTTAAGTTATTCATTATTCCCATAAATGAATGGTCCAAAACTACTTTTAACATTGTCACATGTGCTATTACTATCATTAACATGTATTAATACTATCCAATTATAAAACATTAGATTAAGTAGTACTATTATCTAATCCACCCATTCAAACATATCTTTAATGTCTCCCATACTTTCAGCATGTCTAAAATTTGTGATTCACATTTTTGGTTGTAAAATCCCCACTAATTATAGTCCACATGGGTCAACAACATATCCCCATGAATCCGGATCCTCAGCCGCTCTTCTCGGCGGCCGTTCCCAGCAGTCCCCCAAAACGACGTCTTTTTGGGGTTTAAAAAATATCAAAAAAACCCCCAAAACGACGTCGTTTTGGGGGGCTACTGGGACGGCCGCCGAGAAGGGCGGCCGAGAATCCGGACTCATATGCCCATTGCATGTGAGATCTAGAGACTCTGCTGTGTCCTAAGGCGCCGACACGCTCCGAGATTCCATGAAAACGTGTTCTAAACTTATTTTTGATAATTTAAATCATTTATATTATATTAGATTAAAAATCAAGTTAATCGGATATCTGTAATTTCATGATTAAAATCTAATTGTTTTTAGAATAAATTATTAAAATTATACTAATCATTTATTTTTTAAAAAACAAATATAATCTTATTATGAGACCACAAATATCAAATTAATCTGATTTTTTTATCAATAATCTACCCAATGAATCTTATAATTTGGACAACTCAAATTATTCACATAGACTCAAAAGAAGGCCCCATGGACGAATCAGGATCCTCTCCTCGAGATTCCTACTTGACTTCTTATTTGCTGGGCGATTGGGCCTACTTTTAGGCCCAATTTCGATAATCTGAACCGTTCATATTTTAAGATTTGTTGAGTATATTATACCTGTAAAAAACTAAGTTGATCAGATATTAGAAGTATATGCTCGAAAAACTAACTAAAAACTAGTTTTTTTTTTAAATTTAATAAACAATTTTCTGAACACGTACTTTCTGATATTCGATCAACTTAATTTTTTACAAGTATGATATAATCAACAAATTTTAAAATGTAAACGGTTCGAATTATTGAAATTAAGCCTAAAAGTAAACCCAATGATCTAACAAATAAAAAACCAAGTAAGAACCTTAAGGAGAGTATCCTGATTTCCTATGACGTCAGAACAGGGTGACGTGCTTTACAGGTCCTAATAGTACAACCACACTTGTCCACAAAAAGTTATGGGCTCGTTTGGTTTGATTTTCTGAAAAAATTTTAGGAAATTTTCTCTACAAACAAGTTTTCAAAAATAATCAAACCAAACAAATTTTCCCAAAAAAATTTCTCAAAACTTGTAAACCAAACAAGTTTTCCAAACAAATCTCTCTCTCACACACATCAAATCAATCACTTTTTCCAAAACTCTATCTCAAAATAATTTTCCAAAACATCTTTTAAAAAAAACCAAACCAAACATGTTTTCGTACTTTTTATCTCTAAAACACATCTCTCAAACACAAACCAAACATACCCTATGTGTTTATGACTTTCACATGAAAAGACAATGATGCCCTTACTCTCCATGTTTTCATGTTTTTTTGCTTATTCATCCAATGGACAAATTGGGGTTTACATCCAAACTCCAATAATGTTGAAATTAGTGTTTCCAAACAAGGACAAACTACTACCGTAAATGAGAAGGTTTAGTTTGAATAGCATTATAATCTTGTTCACCTTTCAGTTAGAAAAATTAACTAAATTAAAACCAAATTTCGAAGTGTTTTCTCACAAGTTTCCATCACCATCCACAACTTCCATTCTTAGAGAGATGATCAAATCCTCTCTTTCACTAACAGGCGACAATTGAATTTTCCATCTTTTTATCGGTTTTTACTTCTTTTCTTTTTTTCTGAGTGAATTTATTTAAAAATCTTAATAGTTTTTAGATGAACTAAAAAGCCCCTAAAAATTTAAAAATTTAAAATAAAGAAAAGTTGACCAAGTTTAGTGGGGTAGCAAAACCCCCAATAAATCTAACACTTGCCCCACTTGACAGATGACGTATCAGTGATAACAGCTCCCACTTCTTTTCAAATTCTTTTCACATCACAACCATTGAGAAATATTAAGTGTAATGAAAAAAATATCATAAAATGTATTATAAAAATTTTTTATTCTTTGATTAATGTGTGATATTTTATTTGAAGTGCAATATAAAGGTAGAGAACTTTCATGCTCATGAAATCAATTACCAACAACAGTGCGTGAAAATTTTGACAAATTTTTTTTAAAAACCCTAGAAAGGAAATGACACCACGAAAAATCTTAAACAATGTTACACAAAACAAAAGCAATCTCTGGTCCACCAAGTCCTAGTAGAAAATTATGCATTTGAACCTTCCAAGTCTGTCCACCTTAAAAAACAAATGTGGTATTTTATTACACTAAACCCCATGTTTCCCACTCACATGACATTAAAAGGAGTGTTATTGGCAAAGAAACAACCATGAAATAACCTTCAAAATATCTAGAGGAATCAGAACCTCCAAATTTGAATATGCATACTCAAAAGCTACCAGTTCTGTTCTATTTTGACAATTAGGAAAAAAAATCAGTTAATTAGCTTGTTTGGACCACATCACATCTCTACTTTCTGCATGTTTTTTCAAAAAATATCAAAAAAAATTAAAAAGTAACTTTTTTCCTACTTTCCAAAATAGGCCTCACGAAATCAAACACATCATACATACCAATGAACAAGATTTTGCAAGGTTTGTTTAGTGTTTAGTTTATTTAGAATGAATAATCTTATTTGTATGTATATGATTCTGTGATTGATTTTCGTGTTTGAAAACTTCTTTTTCCTAATTTGATTAACCAAAGTTTGGAATGTGATTTCAGTTTTTGTTGTTGAAATGGAACCCACCAGTCAGCTCACAACCAACCGTCCAATGGGACCTGACACAAGAATAGACAATGGCCTCAAGTCTGGGGATCAAATTTTGATTAATCTTTCCAAGGACAAAATGGGGTCTACCTCCAATAATGTGAGAAATGTTTTGAAATTAACAAAGTAATGACATTATAATCTAGTTGAACTGAAGGGACTGATAGGAGCAAAGTTCACAGTGATCACAAAAGTAGCAAAAATAAGCACAACTATAGTGACAAAGAAGAACAATAACGAAAATGTACGGAGATTAAGAGCCAATGAACATGGATTTAGAAATAAAAAAGAGAGATTGAAAAGAATATAACAACATATACAATAAATTACAATGTAAAGTACATGAAAAGCTTATATGATTTCAAGCCCAGAAAGTACAGGTTTCAAACCTTGGTTCATGTGTGAACCAAAGTTCCAAAATGGAAGTGACTTGTAGGGAATGGAAAGCAGAAAAGAAGAGAGAAGTATGGTAAAAAAATATCAAGATTTGGCAGATAATTTGGAATCAACCATAAAGGCCGTATGAAAACTTATTGATAGACTTTGATAAAGTAACATGAAACACTAAGAGAGTTGGATAGTTAGTTTTTCATTTTCTTATTTACTTTTAAACTTCAGGAACAACAAAAGAAAAATTGTTGAACTAAAAATAAAGCATTAAAAACTATAAATTTTAATGATAGTGCATCCCAATAAGTGTTTTTGGCATTAACCTAAGGATTTCTGAAATGTTTCTTCCAAGTTCATCAAGGAATTTGAAAATGTTTTCTACAGGTAGCCCTACTATTTTTCAAGTATTCGTCCTAGCTTTGGAAACTTTGAATATGGCACCGAGGGAAACTAATGTTGAGGAGAAGATTTTTCACATAAATTAGTGTGAACTGCAGTGCTCCTATCAATAATTAGTAGTGGATCTTTCACTTGAAAGAGAATCATTACCATAAATAACATGATTTCCTCATTTCTTGATATAAACATGTGAAAAAGATACAATCACTCATCAAGAAGCCAACATAAGAATGCATTCCCTTCTCTATATTTCAGTCACTTAGCCTCCAAAAAAAGTATATAGATGATCTAGAGAAGTCTTGAGCTTCAAAAACCAAAAAAAAAAAAAAATGCAAAGCATTTCCACCGAAACCGAGGCAAAGACAAAGAGAAAGAGAGAAAAGACGTACCATTCTCCCTTCTTTCTCTGTACTCAACAAAGGCCAATGTGAAGAAACATCCAAATCATCCAATACAAAAAACTTGCAACCCTCTGGCTCCAGCTTGGTTACAAACTTTCTTGCATTCTCCTTTGTACTCCCCCAACTAGACAAATGAAATAATTTTTTCACAAATTGCAAACCAACAATTATATTATTCAGTTAATTTTTCTTGACTATTCTAATTTAAAACTTTAATTCACATCAATCTTCAGGTATTTCAACATTGGCGTCATCTACACGGTACAGAAAAAATGCATAGTGTGGGGATGTTAGAGACTTGAATTACTCATAATTTGTAAGCTATTATTTTTGTCCATTATTGCTATATAGTTAACAATCTAACATATGTATGGAGCTCTACTTCAACATTTATGCTTAGATAATGTATTCCTCAAATTGGCCTTATTAGAATACTGTTAAAAAAACACCCCAACATACAAGGAACACAAATCAGTAGTTGAATTTTTGAAACAAGAAGAATAATAGGCAATTCATGGGCCAAAAAAAAAAAAGTCATCCACCAAGAAGGAAAGATAGGTACAATCGTGTATTTCATATATTGTAAAACAGAAACAGAAAAACAAAAGACCCAAATCAATTTTCATATTGTAAAACAAGAACACAAAATACAAATGACCAATCAACTTCTATCATACATAAGCCATTAAGAGAGAAAAAAAGAGAGAGAAAAGCTTACCCTTTTCTTTCTCTCTTTTATTCAGTATCCGAAGGCAACTCTGAACCCGGGAGCGACAGTGACGTATCCAAAAGCGAGTTTGAAGAACCCGCACGGGACTGTGAATTATCCAAAAGCAATTGTGAAAAATCTGGTAGAGATTGTGAAGTAGGTATTGATTCTTCCATGGCAAGGTTATGTAACATGGGTTTCAATTCCTTGCTACAAAATTCCTCATACTCTTCTCTATCCCCTCCTTTCTTCTTCACCTCCACAACCCTCAATGTGGGCGTTAATTCGAATATCTCAGCTGCAATTGTCAATGGCCCTTTCACACCTTCCCTAGACCCTTCCAACCTCACTCTACAATCCTTCTTCCTCACCGTAAAGCTCACAACTTTCGCAATCTCTTCCAATTTTGATATAATCCTCGACACGGGCGCCCCTGAAACATACCTTGTCCCCTCTCCTCCCTCTTCAAACAAACCGCTCAAATCAAAACCAGCCGAAAACGATATAAGATCGAAGGCATTCAAGCTCGCCGGCCTTGGCAAACAAGTGGGTCTCCTCCGATACTCCAATTCAGAATCCGATTCAGACAATGACTTATCAGACTCAGACCCAACATCCTCCTCATCCCCATCTCCAACACTACACAACTTATCATCCTCAATATAAAACTTAATATCCTTGAAACCCTTTTTAAACCACCTGTTTTTCATAATCTCGGGGATTGTAATCCGGGTATTAGGGTTTGTATCAAAAAAACGAGTAAGCAATCGAACTAACTCCGGCGAAAACCACCGAGGACATCGAAAGTCCCCTTTATATATCTTCTTATACATTGCCATGATATTCTGATCATGAAAAGGCAAATACCCAGCCATCAAAACAAACAAAATCACCCCACAAGACCAAATATCCACCTTAGCCGCATCATACCCTCTTCGGCCGAGAACCTCGGGCGCAACATACGCCGGAGTTCCACAAAAAGTGTGAAACAACCCATCCTGCTTAATCTGATCGGAAACAGCACTGAGTCCGAAATCAGACACCTTAAGATCACCATTTTCATCTAACAAAAGATTTTCAGGTTTAAGATCACGATGATAAACGCCGCGAGTGTGACAAAACGATACTGCTGAGATCAATTGCTGAAAATATTTTTTAGCTAGGTCTTCTTTGAGGCGCCCCTTGGCGACCTTGTTAAAGAGCTCACCGCCTCTAACGTACTCCATGACGAAGTAGATTTTGGATTTTGTGGCCATGACTTCGAAAAGTTGGACGATGTTTGGGTGTCGAACGCGACGGAGAATCGAGATCTCGCGCTTGATGTGAGGGATTAAACCGCCTTTGAGGATTTTCTCTTTGTCGATGACTTTGATCGCCACGCTCTCGCCTGTTTGGATGTTTCGGGCATGGTAGACCTTCGCGAAGGTTCCATGTCCGAGGAGCTTTCCGACCTCGTATCGGCCGAGGAGGAGAGATTGAGCTTCCTTTTTTGTAGACATTTTTTGGATGATCTATCGATCGATTGGAATTTGAATTTTTCGAAACCCTAGTTTTTTTGTGGTTGATTCGCCATTGGAGGTCTGGTAATTGAGCTTTTTTTTGTGTGGTTTATGGAGTATTGGGAATTTTTTGAGTTTTGTGAGCGGAATTTATATAGGGGATGGGGTAACGGAGAGTTAAAACGGTGGGGGTGTAGGTGAAAAGAAAATTTGACGATTGCCGTTTTTTGACGGATTTAGACGATAAGTTTAAATGGCCTTGGATTGTAACGGTGTTTTCTCGGAGTGGTACAATCCAGTGTGGGTGTGACCAGGATTTCGTTTTGGTTTCTTACTAATCAAGGTTGTTGTAATTGCCGCGATATTGATGGAGATGCTGTTGTGCTTCGAGGTAGCAGATCTGTGGCACTAATCATGATTTTGATAATAGGTTATCTCTTATTTAAGGGTATTTAAGATATAATTATATTGAGTAATGCTAGAGATCCCAAATATTCTATCAAAAGTTTTACCAAATGTCTCATATGGGTGTGGGACCCACACAATGTAAGTCCTATGTGGGTCCCACACCCATGTGAGACATTTGGTAAAACTTTTGGTAGAATTTTTGGAGCTTCTAGCATTTTTGAATTATATTTTTTAATTTTATATGAAATGATGTGTAGAAAAATAAAGAGATGATATGACACAAATAAATATATTTAGGTGTCGTTTGGAAAGAGCTTATTTGAGCTCTTTTGGCTCTTTGAGCCACAAAAGACAGAATAGGCTATTTGAGCCACAACAGACAAAACATCACATCCAACACCTAATCATTACACTCTTTTCTCACAAAAAAAAATTAAAAAAAGCCAAAAAGCCCCTTCCCAAACCAAGCTTTTGAGCCCAGGCTCAAATAGCTAAGAAAGCCAAAAAATCAACCCACTTCCCAAACGGAGGCTTATCTAAATAAGTGCACTTGGACAATCTCCAACCCAGCACCTTTTGGGCTATTTTAGGAAGATGGCTATAATCAGTTTTTTGATAAAAAAACAGCTTATAAGTAGCTTTTTTGTGAGAGAGGAAATGGGTTATAACCCACTTCCCAAAATAGGTCTTTCTTTCAGTAAATTTAAATTTAATAAAAACAAATGCCATTTGTTGCTCCAACCATTTCACTAAATTTAGGATTTCTCAAATTTTTTATCAAATTGAGGATGGATATTTCTTTCATCAAATTATTGTTCATAACTATTCGAGCTGCAGGTTATTTTTACCACCAGACGATCGGCCAATTGTCCCTCGAATGACTGCCTCCTTGTAAAAATTTGTAAAACAATTACACTGGCCGATAGACCGCCCGAACATCTGTCCGGTTGTCTGCTTAGTCGACTAGTGTTTGGATAAATGTTCAAAATCTTCCGTTGAAACGTATGATATCAAATAGAATTTTTACTCAAATTTAATAAAAAATAAATATAAAAATAAAAAATACAACATTAAAGATACTCTTATATAGATTATATCAAATATTCCCTAAAGCACTAATAATATAGTCAGAAATATTCAATAAATTTATATGAAAATTCTACTTCACGAATCTTACCATTTAAACTATTCCAATCATTAAAATTAGTCTCGTATCAACCTGCATGAGAAGTCACAATAGGCAACTTTGTGGGTATTTGACAGAACTTAATTTTAACTTAAATTAATTTTTAGCTTAAATTAAGTTGTTATGGTGTGTTTGATACAACTTATGGACATAGATTATGGCTTAATTTAAGCCAAATTCGGCTTATAAGTTGAAGTTGCTCGCGAGGTGCTTAAAAAAACGACTTGTGCGTGCAGCTGTTTGGGGAGAGGCAAAATGACTTAAATGCCCCCTCCAAAACTTAAGTAATAACGAAAATGCCACTATATAAACCATTTCTCACTCATTCTTCCTCTCTCACACAAACGAGAGAGGCGATTTCCAGCGAGCTAGGCGATTTCCAGCGAGCATGTATTTTCGGCGACCGAGCTCCCTCTCTCTCTCTCTCTCTCTCTCTCTCTCTCTCTCCCGATTGTAACGGTGTTTTCTCGGGGTGGTACAATCCAGTGTGGGAGTGACCAGGATTTCGTTTTGGTTTCTTACTAAGGGTTGGTTTGGGGTGTACTAAAAAAGTGTACTTTTTGTCTTTTTACGAAAAGATGTGTAGAAAAGTAGAGAGGTGATGTGATGAAAAAAATATAAAAAGATAAAAAGATTGATTATATAGTAGATGCCAAACAAGGCTTAATGAAGGTTGTTGTAATTGCCGCGATATTGATGGAGATGCTGTTGTGCTTCGAGGTACAGCAGATCTGTGGCACTAATCATGATTTTGATAATAGGTTATCTCTTATTTAAAGGTATTTATGATATAATTATATTTTTTAATTTTATATGAAATGATGTGTAGAAAAATAATGAGTGATATAACACAAATAAATACACTTATCTAAATAAGTGTACTTGGACAATCTCCAACCCAGCACCTTTTGGACTATTTTGAGTAGATGGTTATAATCAATTTTTTAGTAAAAAACTGTTTATAAGTAATTTATAAACAACTTTTTTGTGAAAGAGGAAGTGGGAAGTGGGTTAACCCACTTTCCAAAATAGGCCTTTGTTTCATTAAATTTAAATTTAATAAAAACAAATGCCTTTTGTTGCTCCAACCATTTCACTAAATTTAGGATTTCTCAAATTTTTTATCAAATTGAGGATGGATATTTCTTTTATCAAATTATTGTTCATAATTGTTCGAGCTATAGGTTATTTTTACCACCAGACGATCGGCCAATTGTCCCCCGAATGACTGCCTCCTTATAAAAATTTGTAAAACAATTACACCGGCCGATAGAGTTAAAAAATAAAAATTAAAGATAAAGAGGTGATGTGAAATAGAATTTTTACTCAAAAATAAAAATAAAAAATACAACATTAAAGATACTCTTATATAGGTTATGAGTTAGTTTGGGGTGTTCTAAAAAAATATATTTTTTGTCTTTTTACGAAAAAATATACAGAAAAATAAAGAGGTGATGTGATGAAAAAAAATAAAAAAATAAAAAAATAAATTATATAGTAGATGCTAAACCAACCATATATCAAATATTCCCTTAAGCACTAATAATATAGTTAGAAATATTCAATAAATTTATATGAAAATTCTGCTTCACGAATCTTTCCATTTAAACTATTCCAATCATTAAAACTAGTCTCGTATCAACTATAGAAGTCACAACGGGCTACTTTATTTTGGCTTCACTGGAAAGAATATTTTTAGTCTACCTTTTTAACATTTTGATTATTTTAACCTGTTTAAAAAAAAAAAAATTTGAAGTAAATTTTTAATATTTTTATAATTTTGTAAAAGAAGAAACGAAATGAGATAATTTAAATATAATATTTATTTTATTAATTTTTTAACTCATTTTTTATCTTTTAGTAGGTTAAAGTGATCTTAACCATATTGTCAAACGGAGTCGAAGTTACTCTTGTTGGGTTATATGTTGGGGGTGATTGTTTCAGTTTTTCAGAGCTAACTTATAACTTTTAGCTTTGAAAAAATTATTTTGGACTGTTTGGTTAAACTTATTTCAAACAGCTTCTGATTCTAACAGCTTATTTTAACTCAAAAAAACTGATTCTGAGAAGCTGCTCACCCCTTGCTTCTGATTATCAGCTTCTGCTGTGGACATGTTAATTTATGGTTATATTCTTAAATTTTTTTATTTTATATTTTTTTTAAAATAGAAAAAGACTCAAATTGACTATAGATTATTATTATTATTATTTTATAAGAAATGTAGACAAACAAAAAATAAAAATTAATTGAAAAAACTATTTCACAACTTATTTAACAAACACTACTCAGCAAATTAAATCTATAATCCAACAGCTACAACAAACAGATTAACAACTTCTGATTAAAGTCATAATTTATAATCTGTTAAGCTATAATCTATAAGTTGTTTTAACAGCTACACCAAACGTGGCCGTTTTTGTTGGCTTATGTGTTTTTGTTGGCTGGTGAGTTTCAGGCCATGCAATTTATAACAGATTTTATTTCAATAATTTGAATTATTTACTTTTTTTATTTTGTGAGATTTTTTTTTTATATTATTTATAAATTAAAAATAAATTGATTCAATAATTGTAACAGTTTTACTTTATTATGTTTTTCTTTTTAAATAAAGGGATATTTACTAATAAATTTCATCTCACAAATAAGTACTCCAATTAGTCTCAAGTTTTTTTTTCTATTGATCTGTTAAGCTATTGTTTAGGAAGTGGGTTTGGGGCTAAAATAATCACAAAAAATAAAATAGGTTTTTTAGTTCCAATAAGACAAAACACCACATCAAACCCATAATCTTTGCATTCTTTCTCTCACAAAAAAGTCAAAAACCTTTCCTAAACCAAACTTTTTAGCCTTAAGCTAAAATAGTCAAAAAGTCAAAAAACCAACCCATTTCCCAAACCAAACCTAAGTCTAGGGCTGCAAACGAATCGAGCCGAGTTTTGATGAGTTCTTATCGAGCTTGTTTATTGAGCTTGAACTCAGCTCGATAAAGAACTGGGTTCGAACTCGGCTCGGTTCGGCTCAATAAAATATTTTTTAAATATTATTTTATATTATTTAATATATAAATAATGTATTTATACTATTATTTAAAATATTTATTATTAATTTAAATAAAGATAAACGAGCCGAGCTTGAAGAGTCGAGCTTATGCGAACTTGAGCTCGGCTCGTTTACTAAACAAATCGAGCCAAGCTGAGTCAAGCCGAACTTGTTCATGAACAGTTCTGTTCATTTGCAGCTCTAGCTAAGTCTTATTAGTAAAGAGTTTTTTTTTTCCGTATGACCGTATTTTTTATTTTAATAGTGTTTTGGTGGACAGATATACCATTTTATTAATATGACAGGTATGTTGTGATGCTCCAATATGGCAGGTATTAATGTGATACTCCAAAAACATTACAAACTCCTTAGTATATTTTTCCTAAATGTGTCAACGTGACAGGTATGATGTGACACTCCAAAACTTTTACTCCAAAAAAATAAAAACTCTTTAATATACTTTTTCCTAATGTGACAACGTGATGGGTATAATGTGAC